ACTAAGGAAGGAAGCTGTCACTAAGGAGCTGTCACTAAGGAAAGAAGCTGTCACTAAGGAAGCTGTTACTAAGGAGCTGTCACTAAGGAAGCTGTTACTAAAGAGCTATCACTAAGGAGCTGTTACTAAGGAGCTGCCTCTAAGGAAGCTGTTACTAAGGAGCTGTCACTATGGAAGCTAATATTAAGAATTTGGTTATGCCCAAATAAGTGGTGGAAGTGTCTAAAGCGGTGAGGTTCAATGAAGTAGGCTTTAATGTCACAGCATGTGTGTATGTCCAAAACTGCTACTTGTCTTAGTCTGGACCAATGATGATTCTATACAAAGCATATGTGCATGTATGTGCATACACCCTGATACACCAAGCCTTGCTCCTTTGATGCCAAGAGTGAATGAATGAATCAGTGAGTTAAGTTTTATGCCACTTTTAGCAATATTCTAGTAATATCACGGCAAGGGACACCAGAAATGGGCTTCACACATTGTACTCATGTGGGGAATCGAACCCGGCTCTTCAGCGTGATGAGCAAAAGCTTGAACCACTAGGCTACCCCACGCCCCTTTTAATGCCACAACATCGACTGTCTTTTGCTGTCTTTTGGAATGACATGGCTGAGGTTCAAACAACCAAACGTCTCTTGTCAGACTCTATCAACTATACCATTGATGCAGTGGGGAAGTATCTGTGAAGATTTTGACCACTGCTTGGTGTTGATGCATCAAGAGTTGAAAAAAAGCATTTTATTTAATCCATAGTAGGGAGCTCTAAATAAACTCGTATTTACGATACATCTAATTAATGGATGAGATATAGAATAGAGAATGAATCCTCCCAAGCTTTCTGTAAGATCAATATTCATCAGGAGCAACCTCTTGGAGATAATTCAATCAGTGACAAGACCATTAACAGTGAGTGAGGAAGTCAGGCTCACCACCACATTGACAGTACAGTCTGTGGCGTCTTCTCTTCCCATCTACACTAACCCAGCAAATCTATACCAATGGTCTTGACTCTCCACTTTTGAACACCATATTCCACTTATGCACTATCCCCCAAACTCATACCCACTGTATAAAAATATTAACTTCATAGATTTACATTAAAAAACTACCCAGCAAAAAGAACTATTTTTGAAAATGTACAAAATATGCAAATGCTACATTTTGAGAGATATTAACGCTGCTGCCAGTCACTGAGTACATGTTAAATGGTTGATCTCAATTCCAGACCTGCTCACTTCACGGACAAGGTTTGTCCATTTCTGTTTAAGCTGAATCCATATTCACCAGTAGGTGGCAGCACTACATAACGTTCCTGTATTAGTCTGGGGATGTGTCTGGTGACCTCTTCCCCGGGGTCAGGTCAGCGATACAGTACCCCCTGGACCCATCTGTGTGACCCCACACTTGTCAGCAAGTCATTGAACCTAAAGAAGATAGTATGATTTATGGCCACCTATGACCATTCAGCTGAATTATTCTCTCCAGAAAACTCAGCTGATGGAAATGTCTTGAGTGTTCAGCTTGCCATGCGGATTAAAGAGCACTATTCCCATCCAGCTGTAATCTCATGGCAGACCTTGGCTAAGTATGTGTGTGTATTTGTTGTTTAATGCCACACTCAGACGTATTCCGGCTATTCTACAGCAGCCTGTGGATAATCAAGTCTGGACCAGACAATTAGGTGATTGTTGTCATGAGCATCAATTCAAGCCATTTGGGTACATTGAGACATCGTGAACTAATTCCCTAATCTTGATCCCCTGATCTATTGAAGCATCTTTCCTCAGCATAGGTAGCTTATGACCAAATCTAACCTTTGGTTCAGACAAGATGATCGTCATGACAGTGTTACTCCATTTCATCTTGCTTAGGGTCACTACAGGTCAGCTGTCCGAATGTTTGATTCTATTGCCCAATTGTATTCTCATACTGTATTGTCTATCTATTGCTGGGGCGGAGGGGTAGCCTAGTGGTTAAGCATTCGGTCATCACGCCGAGGACCTGGGTTCGATTCCCCACATGGGTACAATGTGTGAAGTCCATTTCTGGTGTTACTGGCCATAATATTGCTGGAATATTGCTAAAAGCAGCATGAAACCATTTTCACTCATTGACTGACTCTAACTGTTGTCTGATTGCAATGCCTGACTTTTGTCTGATTGTATTGTCTCATGTCTTTGTCTGACTGTAGTGTGTAACTATATATTGTAATCTACATTGTCTGATTGCATTATCTGTCTGTATTGTCTGACTGTATTGTCTAGTTGCATTATCTGTCTGTATTGTCTGACTGTATTGTCTAGTTGCATTATCTGTCTGTATTGACTGACTGTATTGTCTAGTTGCATTATCTGTCTGAATTGTCTGACTGTATTGTCTAGTTGCATTTCTGTCTGTATTGTCTGACTGTATTGTCTAGTTGCATTATCTGTCTGTATTGTCTGACTGTATTGTCTAGTTGCATTTCTGTCTGTATTGTCTGACTGTATTGTCTAGTTGCATTATCTCTCTGTATTGTCTAGTTGCATTATCTGTCTGTATTGTCTGACTGTATTGTCTAGTTGCATTATCTGTCTGTATTGTCTAGTTGCATTATCTGTCTGTGTCTGTATTGTCTGACTGTATTGTCTAGTTGCATTATCTGTCTGTATTGTCTGACTGTATTGTCTAGTTGCATTATCTGTCTCTATTGTCCGACTGTATTGTCTAGTTGCATTATCTGTCTGTATTGTCTGCCTGTACTGGATCATGGTTATTAACTGAGTTTAGGTCAATACAACAAGGAACACTGTCAGTCCGTAATGACTGAAGGTTTATCCCCAGGTTAAACCTTCAAACATGTAATAGAATAAAAGGAAAACTGTTTATTTCTTGTCTAATGGATTATTTCTTTGAATATGCAAAACTTGAGTCACTAAATGCAGGGGCTTTCAAAGGAATGATACGACTGTTAAAGGCTAAATGACCAAAGTGTGCTTTCAAACCAATGTGTTGGGAAAATCATGTTATGTCATTGCCAAAACAGCTTCCCTTGAATATGAAACTGAACATTCAAGTCATTCAAGAAAATGTCAATATTATTTATTAATCAAGGAATATAATGATGTCACATATTAATATAGAAAAGAATAATTATGATACAATTATTTCGAAGCAGGTTACCCTTTATTGCAAATTAAAAGCTATTTGCTGCAAGAATTCAGAATATATAATCCTTTTCATGTAAAATTCAAATTCAGGGCTTTTTCAAGCATAAATTTCAAATGTCAAGATCTTTTCAAGACCCTGAGAAATTTAATATGTAAATTTTTTTTTATAATAACTGAAAACTGATATTTCATTACCGGCAATAAATACCTTCAGCATGGCCAGTAAAACTGAAGGTCACTATTGCTGGACAATCTGGTATGTTTTCAAGGTCAGCTGTCCAGTCGATAGGTGTTTTTTTTTAACGCAATACCACTAAATATATGATTTAAAAAATAACATGTTTGGGCCAGACCAATTTTATTTCTTGTTTAACAGATCCGCCGGTTGTATTTTTTCAAGAAGAAGAAAACAAACAAACAAAACACATGTGCATTTTGCTTTGGTGATTTTAAAAAAATAACCTGACACCCAACACCCAATATGATATTAATAAGTGGAAATGCTCAGTATAACTGTATACTGCATTAGACTCTTCAAACCATATGTATTGCAGTGTATGTTTCTGTTTTGTGGTTGAAAAGAAATACAGCAAATTATTTGTATATTTTTGTATAATTTAAGCTCAAATCTACACAGATATTCATTCACAAATGATAACATCCTTCACAACCGACTGACAAAAGGGCAGAAACACGGAGGTGAATTTATCGGGCGTTGGTAATTCCCTGTATCCATGACTACAGAAGTGACTGACGAGCTGAATAATATTCATATCAATATGCAGAATGAATTATCTGTATGTACAATCAGAGTTTATCATCATCAAACACTCGAACTGTCCTGTAGTGACCGAACAATACAGAGATACTTGTACTGCAATAGATCGAACCGGGCCTTCGAACCGGGCCTTGAGTGAACGCTTTACCCACTAGGCTACGATAGGTAATTTTCGTATTGTAGTTAAAACTACTAATAACACTACTTTGAATTCCCTTTATATTATTATACATTAATAGTTTTGAGAATGTTTATTGGTCATATAATTGCATTTGCGTGACTTTTAAACCATAAAAAAAATAATATATAGATTGGTATTGGCACTCGTTGTAAGGAAGCCACTGCAGACACTTTTTCTCGAGTTCCAAACTATAGAGCGACGTCTTCAATTTGGAAACATTTTCAAAGGATCTCTTGTACAATCAAATCTGATTCCTGCCAGTGGCCAGTGGTATTGTTTCAAAAGAAAGGAAACAGTAATTTCATTACCTTAACCATGTGTTACACTTTCACAATATATTGCAATACATATTGGAATACGGCAACACATATCACAATATATCGCAATACGAAAATATTGACGATACCCAACCGTAATATATACAAGATGTGCATGGTTTATATGAAGTGTATGTACTGAGTACCATGATGTATTAACACACAATACTGTAGTACACAATAATATACACTACTCAATGCATGAAATGCCTCCCATAATCCTTTGATGCTTTACCATCAACGTACGTACATGTATTTAAAGTTTTATATATTATAAGGTATGACATGACAGATAAACTATAAACAAGGGAGATAATTCAATGGCTGTACAATTTCTTTATTACTACGGGTGGAGAGTTTTGGTGTAGACAGCAACACCAACAAACAATGGTGGTAGTATCTAAACTGAAACATCACATTCATTTTGTAAAGAGGTGGTACAGCCATAAATTATATCCCTTGTCTAAACTGCCATTCAAAGAAGAAAAACAGTATGTAAGAATCGTGTGATCCCCTACTTTTTTAAAGTAGTATATGTAGGATGTGAGACAAATAAATTCACACTCTCTCACCTCCAGTTGCAGCTTGTTCCCCATCAGCTGGCACCATGCTTTGTACTCATACCCCAGCACCGACAACTTCTTGAGGAACTCCCGAGTCTCCAGAGCCAACATGGAACTACCATCCAGGTCGGAATGACATATTTCTATCCATGTTTCGATCACCTTCAGTATACCCCTGTGGTTGAGGGGTATCTCACAAATGGGGGTGGTGGAGATAGGGGAGACAGACTTGACCGTCCCTGCAGAGGAGTGGGTGCGTTCCGACGGGGCGGGGCTGGGGGTGGATGTCTGGGTTGGGGTGGAAGGGAATAGATAGTGCTGAGCAGCGTGACCTGTTTGTTCTAAATGAGGGGAGAGATGATTAGCAAACCCTGAGGAGTGAGGAGGGGAGGGGTATTCAAAGTGTTGGGGACTTTGGCTAGCGGAGGAAGGCTGGGGAGAAGAGGGGGTTTCAAAATGAACTTTAATATTTGGTATATCCGTGATTGAATCATTGTCCTGCTCAGGACCACTGGTTGTAACAGGAAGATTATCCATGTCGGTTGTCATGATGGTAACGAGGGACCCTGTATCGTAGATGTGTTCTGTGGAGCAAGGCCCGGGGGTCATTAGACCTGATTTCACCAAACTGTGACTCTCTTCCCCCTCTAGGCCACTCACTGATGCCAGGTACCCAGCAGAGCCATTTAATGGAGATGACCTCGTTCGGTGTGCAAGATTTTCAGGCACTGAGCTGGATCTAGAAAACACTGGTGATACATCCACTGGTGGAGTGTCCATTACAAATGTTGGCAGGTTGGTGAGTTCTCGCTGGAGAGCAACAAGATCCATATCTGGTGCGGAAGAGCTGTTGGAATCTTTCTGACTCAACTGACTGAGGTCACTGGAGACGCTGTCCCTGCGGGGCAGAGACACACTGGCCTGAGGTTTGGACAACACCCGCTTGCTGGGCCACCGGAAGAGTTTCCTGGAAGTCTTGGGATCCCCACCAGAATCAGGCATCTCCACTACTGTGCTTGGTTCTGGGTTCTGGGGGGCGGGCACTATGTTGAGATCAAGGGGTGTCACCAAACTCTCTCCTATTGCACGTAGGGCAAGTTTGGTTGTTCCGTTTTTACTTGGCACATGGTTATTAGTTCCCTTATTATTTTGATCTTTGTCTTGTGTTATACTGGAGACTTTGACAATGGGAGGAGCACTCTCAGGTTCCTCTGGTGGGTCTGTTATCACAACATGGAGGTTAGCTTTCCTCCGTTTCGACAAGGAATCACATTCCTCCAAAGGTTCTTCGTCTCGTTTTCGAGGTGGACATATATCAACTTTGTCCACCTTTGGCGGTTTGAGTTTTGTGTCACTGTACAATGTCTTCCGCCGGATCATGTTCCCGAATAGTTTGTGAGCTAATAGTCGGAGGACAATGATAGGATGAACCAGCACAGGGAGGGCTGCTAGAAGATAGTCCCTGAACGGCTTATGGTACATGTCCTGCAGAAACTCCATGGAACAGGAGGGTGATGCGAGAGGGGAGAAGATCTGGTGAGAGCTGACTGACTCCCTCTCCGACAGTGAGTACACACTGGGCAGAGAGTTGGAGAGTTGTGCCCCTTGTCCACAGTCACGTTCCTCACTCATGGCTTCCTGTAATGCAGCGAGTCAATAACCATTAGTATTCTAAAACTCCAGACCTAAAATATATATATATATATATATACAGTTGTAAACATCTGGGATGCCATATGTAGTTTCATTAAGAGACAAATGTTAGAATGTAAGAGAATAATTCTAAGGATGCTTCTTATTTCTTAGCAATCCTTTCTTTCTTTTCCTTCTGAAACCTGGAACTTGCATGTAGTAGAACTAATCAGAAGTAACCCACACTTGTTGTAAAAGATGACTTAGGGATTGGGTGGTCAGACTTAGGGATTTGGTTGTCATGGTATCCCAGCTGCATGGACAAATGCTGATGACGTCAATCACTGCATTGTCTGGTCGATTATGTAAAGACCACAATCATCTAGCTGGATTATTGCTGAATGAACCAACCAACCAACCAGCCAGTCAATCTACCATCCAACCAACCATCCATCCATCCATCCAACCAACTAGCCAACCAACCAACCAACCATCCATCCAACCAACCAGCTAGCCAGCCAGCCAGCCATCCAACCAACCATCCATCCATCCAACCAACCAACCATCCATCCATCCATCCAACCAACCAGCCAGCCAGCCATCCCTCCAACCAACCAACCAACCATCCAACTAACCAAACCAACCAACCAACCAACCAACCAACCAACCAGCCAGCCAACCAACCAACCAACCAACCAACCAACCAACCAACTAAGCAAACATATAAACAAAGAGGTCATCTTGAGCACTGACCACAATACATGGTTCTTTGTTGGCATCGGGTTAGAATTTAATCAAATGACACCTCATGGCCACCTTTTTGTTGTTAGCAACATGGAGTCCTATGTTCATGGTTTCCAGTGTGAGAGCTGACACCATCAGCTCATAGTGTTACTTACAAACGGTATCACAACACTGGTGTCATTCAGGATCAAAGATGTTTTCAGAATTGTTATGCAAGATTTCTCTGTACATAGAAAATGATGCTTATAACATGAAAGCTGAAACAAATCTACTCAATATAAGGGTTTGAAACAAGTAGACTTGTTTACTTATGTTTAGATCCATATGAAAACATTCTAAATCAGTCATTAAAATTTAGAAACATGTTTTTCAGACATAAATGAAATGTCAGCATGCAACACAAATGTTTGGAGAAAATGTCATTCTGCATTTCAAAGGATATTTTAGTGCACTGCTTTAAAGGAGAAATAACAAAAAATGGTAGCACAGATTCTTCAACTATAAGTCAGGTTAGGATTCAAATTTGACATTTTCCTTCATCTGTGTTCTTCAGGACTATCAGAATGCTTTATTTTCCATTCCTAGGGCAATGCTTTCTAATCACTGACTTTTTGTCTTAGTGGAATGGACCGAGAACACAGAACACAGACGGACCCAGAACTAGACATGTGTCTAGTGTACAGTTTGAAAAAACTGAACCATTAATTTCAGACTGATTCAGCCCTAGTCTGGACAGAAGAAATGGCATTGAACAGAAAGTACGCTACACAAACTATATAGGTTACTTGTATACACTAATACTACATGTTTTAGGATAATCAAATGAATATGTGTCGAGTTCTTGCAATAATCTTTTAAACTATAGATATAAATATGTTTGTCCTAAGTTATTTGAATGTGTACAGATACACTGTATTAATCATGACAAGAAACTGTTTTCTTACCCTATCTGTATGGTTTAGTATTTATTTATTGTAAGGATCTGGTTTGTGTGTCCATCCTTATTGTACACAGTAGAACTATCCCATTTTCCTAAATAAACAGTTTCAGCTTTTATACACAGTATTTTTATTCATTTAACCACTTCAAAAATGACAAAGTTTTATGGAGGACAACTTCTTATATTTCATGACTGTAACATTTTCATACAGATTCCTGTACCGTTGTCAAGCATGAATATTACAGTTGTCAAGCATGAATATTACAGTTGTCAAGCATGAATCTTACCGTTGTCATGCATGAATGTTACCGTTGTCATGCAAGAATGTTACCGTTGTCAAGCATGAATATTACAGTTGTCAAGCATGAATATTACCATTGTCAAGCATGAATATTACCATTGTCAAGCATGAATATTACCGTTGTCAAGCATGAATGTTACCGTTGTCAAACGGGAATGTCATCTATAAAAATCTGTCATTTTTGTACTTTCCAACTTCTAAAATGCCACTCAAAGAAGTTACTTATCCACTTCCATTCCATTTATGGTTTTAAGTTTGTGACCCCATACTATCACTTTTGGGTTTTGCCAAAATGGTAAAAATCTGAGAACTGCTTTGTAATAACTGGAATACTGTTGAACCCTATAACTCACTCACTCACTCACTATCCTCTCCTTGAATCAGCTTTTGTCTCCCAGTGTGATTCAACAGGTCAGCACTAAACACTCACAAGCTAGTTAAGCCATCATATTACAAACTAATTAAAACTTTCAGTTTACATTCTACACAAAAACAGTGGTAGTAAAATTTCTAGAAGAAATTCTTCAAGAAAAATAGGCTTACAAAATGAACCACATTATTTCCAACCAGCTAAATTTTTTCAAGCTTTCGCTAACTAACTAATTGGCAACTATCAGGTCACTTCACACTAAAACAACTCATCATCATTAATTCTTTTCACTGAGAATAATGCCACAGGAGGTATCTGGTTTCCCAACAACTTCCTGTGAACAAAGAGTAGCATGCAACATCATCTCCACTAAGGAGCTTCGGCACAAACCTTAAAACTAAATTATCTTCCTGTCTGATTTTTTCTCCAGGATTTAACAAATAATTGATTACTGTACAGACTCCTTGTGGGGCTCCCAGTAGTCTCTTATGAGAGCTAGTTGTTTGGGTAAGTGCATTAAAGTCTGAGGAGCTTACAGAAGACAGACTAACTATAGAATTTAGTTTCTGTGATGTTCCAACATCTCAGGCAACTTGAAAATAAAAAATATAAAAAAATGATTCCATGTTGAGGAAACACACATCTTCAAAACATTTTTTTAAACATTAGTTTTGTAACCCTGTATAGCCATTCAAATTACAATGACATTGACCTGAGCACAGTGTTAACCTCCTAATGTCCGGCTTTTAAGATCAACTGGTGAACATTCATTGTATTATAAGATTATGGCCCAACACTATGAGCTCACCACCTCTGTGGGCATGTGCTTAATGGTCATGTGCTTACTATGCCTATGCTCACTCTCACTGTATGCTGGTCCTAAACTTGTGCTTCACACCATTATATTTATATAGGTTATCACGCGAGTGTGTTTTGGGATGGTTAATGTCCTGCATTAGGAATAATCATTGTATTTAGCAAGCCTTGGCGAGCTAAATACGTAGTGTTCATTCCTGTGCAGGATATTAACCATCCCAAAACACACGAGTGTGATAACCTATTTATCATACAATGTCATTTTTGCTTTTATAATTTAAAAAAAATGCGATTTCAAATGCCACAAATCATGAAACTAAACTTCGTGGAATGTCTATGACGTCACAAATTTCTCCTGATCACTCAGCTGACTGCGTTAGGTCATCTAGTTCCCAGTAAGCTTTTATGCTAAAGCACGTATTGTTGTCAACAAATCTTAGATTACGTCTAAGAAAATTCAGAAACCTTCAATTAACCTTTTGAACAACAAACTACGCTTTAATGTTTGCGTGACATTGTGCTCCTGGATTCCTATGCCGTTCTCTCGCAAACACTGACAGTCGGTCGGGGAACTGATGTTGGTATCTTCGTAAGCCTATGAATTTCTATCTTCGCTTTGTAATCTACTACATCTATCATAACCAGGTATGAATTTTCTGGGATCAAAGCACTGACAGTACCGTAACCACGGCCGTCAATCCGGACACGACCGCCGACCCTTGACGCCATGTTTGTTTACACTGTGAAAGTAGACCCTGAAATTTGCATATGACCTCTCTAATTTGCATCGATATCCGTATATGACCCCAACGGATACCGAAAATATCCGTTGACTTTATCCTGCCGAGAACACTATCCATTGTATGATAAAGGTCTTTATTCATGCACTCCCTGCCTGTATTTTCAGCAAATGGTGTACAAAAAGTCTTTCATTGACTTCAATTATACACATCACCAATGGCCTTGACCTTACCCACATGACCTCTGACATGTACATATATATGTACTCCCCTTTCTGCTAGAATGTAGTAAACAATCTCTTGACCAGCTTGTATTTTCACAAAATGGTATTCAAAAAGAATTTGATTGACTTTAATCCTAAGACCTTGACCTCACCTGTATAACCTCTGACACGAGCCCCTCCAGTGATGCAGCCTGGAGGTGATGGTTGGTACTCCACATCATAATTCGGCCCATAGCCATGAGCTCGATGAAACTGTCTTCAGGGGAGTGTACTTGCAGCAAGGAATTGGTCGTCAGCTCAACGAAAGCTGCCAGATAACAAAACACAACAACTTTATCCAACATTTTCTGACAATTTTGCTTTTACGACCAATAGAATCTGTCTCGGCAGGTAAGTGAGACTGGTTATTCTCTGGCTTTGACATTTTGAATTCCAGGTACAATAAAACAGTAAGTGTCTTGATGCTACGATACTAAGATAATTTAGAGCAATGTGTCTGCTTGTGAAAGAAAATGTGATAGCATGCAGTAACAATATAGTCAGCAAAGCTGAAATTAACAGTATGATAAGATCAGTTTTTGAAATTTAGGTCGGTCCTTTGGCCCGAAGCCGACTGAAAACCACTCGGACCCACAGTTATTGTTTTCTGCAGGTCCTTATGGCAGACAGCTTTTTCATCCCCAATAACTAAGAGTACTATTTTTCAGAAAATATCATCCATAATTTCTACATTTTATCTCAATCAGCAGCTGTTGTCTGTAAGTGAAAAGTCATTTTCGAGGAAGCAATTAAGATTACAGAGATATGATATTTTTTTAACTCAGTTTGTTGGTTGTCACATATTTTGTCTGCAGGGAATTACTTATATTGTAGCTAAAATATAGGACCTACACATTCTGATCAGGACCCAAAACTTGTAATGGTTCTGGGTCCTTAGGGTCTTCAGCTTTTCACGGTTAAGGGCAAACACTGACTACGATACTAAGATAATTCAGAGCAATGAATCTACTCATGAAAGAGAACGTGGTATTGGGCATTACCAATATCGGCAGCAAAGCTGGATATTACTGATTAATGCACTGAGCTGGATATTACTGATTAATGCACTGAGCTGGATATTACTGATTAATGCACTGAGCTGGATATGCATCTTACCTTCAGCGTGAATTGAATTGAAATGAGACAAAACCCTGATTGTTTGCAGACAATGAAACATAATCACACAGACATGAAATCCTGCAGCAGCAGCTGTTGAAGGATTTAACGTTAATGACATTAACGATATCCATCACTCCATCAATAAAAAAATCTCATAAATATATTTATTTTGCAATGAAACTTAATAGAAGTAATGTTCAATTACACCTTGAAATCTAATTGTTCATTTGCCATATGTATCATACTATACAATTTTGATGTAATTACAGACATCTGTATCTCTGTATTTGAAATCTTCTGATTATATTTGACATATGTCCATTAAATTCAGAATGTTCGTATACACATGAGGCTCTGCAGTCCCCTGGCTGTGAGTTATATGCTGAACAAATAAAGTTAGGGAACATGAATAGTTTGGGTATAGTTTGATGAGTGCTCAGTCTTCTGATATAACAAAAAACATTCCTGATCTCTGACTTTTACTTGTCAGTATGTTAAGAAAAGCAGCCATGCTCAAATAAAATACCAATCAGAGAAAATAGCATATATCGTGCAACAGAAGTGTTTTAGGATCTACATATGTCATAGCAGAGAAGAGTTAGTGTTGTGCATATGTGTATTAAAACAGGAGAGTTTGGGATCCACATGTCTTAGAACAGAAGAGTTTGAGATCAGCATATTGTCTTAGAACAGGAGAGTTTGGGATCTGGATATGTCTTAGAACAAGAGAGTTTGGGATCTACATATGTCTTAGAACAGGAGAGTTTGAGATCTGCATATATATTAGAACAGATGAGTTTGAGATCTGCATATGTCTTAGAACAGGAGAGTTTGGGATCTGCATATGTCTTAGAACAGGAGAGTTTGGGATCTGCATATGTCTTAGAACAGGAGAGTTTGGGATCTGCATATGTCTTAGAACAGGAGAGTTTGGGATCTACATGTCTTAGAACAGGAGAGTTTGGGATCTGCATATGTCTTAGAACAGAAGAGTTTGAGATCTGCATATTGTCTTAGAACAGGAGAGTTTGGGATCTGCATATGTCTTAGAACAGGAGAGTTTGAGATCAGCATATTGTCTTAGAACAGGAGAGTTTGGGATCTACATATGTCTTAGAACAGAAAAGTTTGGGATCTGCATATTGTCTTAGAAGAGTTTGGGATCTGCATATGTTTTGGAATGGAAAAGTTTGGGATCTGCATATGTTTTGGAATAGAAAAGCATATGTCTGAGAACAGAGGAACTCACGTCGCCTGTCAAAAAGGTCGACCCTTCCTCCCAGCTTGTGGAGAAGTCCCATGTACACCAGGATCCGGGCTGCATGGTACTTGACAAACTTGGCATACTTTGTGCTGTGGTTGGTGTAGTACCATTCATCTGATGGAAGGAGCAGCTGCATCAACATGTCTGCAACTTCAGCATCGTTGAGGGCTTGATGGTTGAGGGGGTTGAGGGCAATACAAGCCAGCGCTTGTAGCAGAAGGCAAAGAAGGTGCTGAAACGGATCGATGGAATGAGTTGACAGTTTCACATACATACATTAAATATCATTAAGAATAGGTGGTGGTCAGCGGACTTGGGTACTGAAAGAGTCTGGGTTTGAATCCTAGACACACCTGATTATGCTCATGGTCTGTGAGTATCCTACCTGTGTCAGTCAGTTTTAGGTAAGGGAGTAAATTGTTAAGGCAGCTTTGAACAGTAATTCAGGTGCATGTGTCAGCTTCCTGTGGAAGAAAGTCCATTATTACCCATATGGTAGGGAGGACACAGGGTAGTATTTTTCCTGTAAGTCCCTAGGGAGGTTACACCTTTTGGTGAACGTTGATTGGCTGTTTCAGAAAATAACAGCCAGTCACACGTATAGATATAGGGAATTCCCTACATCATGGGTTTCCTTATTATATAGAGAAATTGCTGTTTCCATTTTAGCGCTTCTCAGATTGAAAACTGATATGGGTAATAAAAACAATAACCAACTTGTAACGGGGTATGACAGATTATTTTTCTCTCATTAAATTAATTATGTAATTCTCTTGCCAAGGCTCAAGAATTACGTAATTAATATAACACAGGAAGTCATTCCCCATCACTCGTTAGTTATTGTGTAAGTGTTGCTTTGGTTCAGCCTTTCAGCATGACCATATAAGTTTACCTTGGGATTTAAATCTTTCCAACCCTTGAACTGAAATAGCATTCTGCCATATATATAGAACATTATATTTTCCATATTTGTGGAATAATGTTTAATTCTCACAGGGCACTATATTTGTTTTGCTTTGTCAGTGCTGACATCCAACTTCATGTGAGTTGTTCATTGATTTCATGGCTTCCAAAGTGGCCCATTTTTTTCCAAAATGTTCAGCATTATTGTTCAAAATGCCAGAATTCCAATGTTTAACAACTTGTGATTGGGAAACCTACATTTTTCTACATTTTCTCATAAAAGAGGATGCCTGTGTGGTCTAGTCACGTCACACCCCAAGATGTTAAAGATGTTACCAAGCCTGCTGCCTCGCATTAACACTGACTGACTGAGTTTGGTTTTACGCCGCTTTTAGAAATATTCCAGCAACATCAAGGCAGGGGGACACCAGAAATGGGCTTCACACATTGTACACATTGTGTGGGGATTCGAACCCGGGTCTTTGGCATGACGAGCCAACGCTTTAACCACTAGGCTACCCCACCGCGCCCCTCGCTCGCATTAACAGGATGAAGTGAGTGAGTATGGTTATTCACTGCTTTTAGCAATATTTCAGCAACATCATGACCAGAGTCACCAGGAATGGGTATTGCACATTTTAACCTCATGGGGAATCGAACCTGGGTCTTAAGCAAGATAGCAAATGATTTAACCACTATGCTACCCAACCAGGAAAGACTTCTGCCCGTATCCCCTCTTAAATCTCATTCTTGTCAAATCATATCACCTGAATATATATATTCCTCATCTGATAAGGATGAGTTTTAACATGTTTCTTTAATTGTATCTGAACATAATGAAAGACATATCTGGATTCTAAAAATGTCATTGAAAGAAATATTTCCTTATCGTTATAATTTAGGTGGATACGGGCGGAAGTCTTACCCCCAACCGCCCCATTAGGAAGATAATACATTGGCGGATCCAGAGGGGGTTCGACCCCCACCCCTTTGAAAATGACTTAGACCACATTGAAGATTTTTTGTGCGTTGGCGGAGCCAATGGGGGGTTCAGGGGGTTCGTCTGAACACCCCCTTTCAAAATTCCTGGATCCGCCCATGTAATATGACTTAGTCATAGTTTAACTTCAGCATGGTATCTCACTGGCCCAGACCAATAAAAATGGCACAAGCCCTGGCCAGCTGAAGCAGCTACACACACACATTACAACTGAAGTATTATAATCTTGTACACAACAAACCCATTTCACCTCAACTGACATAAATCAGACAAAATACATATAATATACAGAATAACCTCTTTGTAAACTGGAAATACAGATTGTTTGTTCCTGGTAAAATAACGTTGATAGGCACCTGCCGAGGCTCATGACAAACTGATTCCCATTGGGCAGTCCATTCAGTAGTCCTCGCGTTCATTGGTTCATATTTTACTTTAACCACAGGCTTTGGTCACCATCCAGGGTAACGCATACAAATGACGTATTTCAATATGTAATGTTCAAACTTGAAGCGTTTTGAGCATTTATGGTTATAAACTCCATTCATGAATCTGTATTTTAACTTGTACTTAAATCAATAATCATTTGAAAAAGAGAAGAAACTGACAAAAAATTGACATGAAAGCATATTTTGAAAACATAACATGTAGTTACCATATTTTCTCTGATATCTGTTTTAATGTATATGATTTATACATAATGTGTTCATGCATCAATAGAATATTCCCAGCATAAGGGAATACAATTATGTTCCTTAAAATTTGATTCGGCTGACCAGTCCAGTGATTAATAATATAAGCAGTTTACGATGACATCGACTATTAACCACATCAGTCCAATTCATTAAGTCACCTCTGGACAGATGTGAAGCCCATTTCCGGTGTCCCCCGCCGTGATGTTGCTGGAATATTGCTAAAAGCGGCGTAAAACCAAACTCAGTCAGTCAGTCAGACCTCTGGACAGGTTCCTGTATGCTACTGTATGAAACAGCCTCAGTGCTAAGACTGTCATACGTCTATGTTAAGGTATGGGAGTTAAAGGGGGCGGTGAGGTAGCCTAGTGGTTAAAGCGTCCACTCGTAACACCAAAGAGTGAGTGAGTGAGTTGAGCTTTTAGCTTTTAGCAAAATCACGGCGGGGGACACCAGAAATGGGCTTCACACATTGTACCCATGTGGGGAATCAAACCCGGGTCTTTGGCATGGCAAGCAAACGTTTTAATCACCAGGCTACCCAACTGCCCCGTCACGCCAAAGACTCTGGTTCGATTCCCTACATGAGTGCAATGTGTGAAGCCTATTTCTGGTGTCCCTTGCCGTTATATTGCTGGAATATTGCTAAAGGTGACCTAAAACTAAACTTTGCCCTAAGATTGCTTACGTTTTGTGAATGGCAGATGCTACCGGTAGAGAACACTTATTGCGAGTGCCTGGTATCATCAATTATTTTCAGTGATCGATACATATGATTATCACATGTTTTCCTTGACACGAAGTGGAATTTGCTTCTGAGGATAGTCAAAACTGGGTATGTTTTGCAATGAAGTTCTATATGTTTCCAACGGAATCCGGGAAACCTATTCTAATCCATTGGTGTCCCATGTGAGCTGATGGTGAGGGTGGCTGCAAGTAAGTGACCAGCGATGATTTACAAGACGTCAGCGATGATTTACAAGACGTCAGCGATGATTTACAAGAGGACATACGGTACTGTATTTTTCATCCCTGCTAGATCCCATTCCATGAAATTGTTAGACATGGGTTTTGAATTTACAGGGAAATGCACTATATCATAGTGTTATCCAATTCTTTCAGCTGTATCTAAAGGACATTTGGCAAACAGGACGACATTTTCTGTATTGACAAAATATAACATGAGAACAACCTCACTCCTTTTCATCCTTTCAGTATTATAAATATGAAATAATTAATAGATCAACACAGGACCCTAATGTTCATGACCCTATTGATTTTATAAAGGTTTCGATTTGTCAAGTTATAATACAGCTGTGTATTCAATAAGCACCCATTCATCATACTATGGATTTTCACTCTGAATGCAAAGAGCTATTTATCATTGTACACAAGGGGATTTTTGTAATATTGATAAATAACATAATGCATGGTATATTTCTCAGAATCTCGGAGTAGAGGAAATGAAACTAACAGTCTGATTAGGATGAAAGATTGTCTTAGTTCTCTGGGGGTCTTCCTGATTCAGAAAACAACACTTTGTGAACTTTTATTTCTGATGGGAAACGAAAAATTGAAATTTCTGAAACCCGAGGACAATCTTGTTACTGCTAAAATTTTGAAGCAAGCATGAGTAAATCTGGTAAAAGTATGGCAATGTAACACATTTTACAAAGATGTCAGAGTTCATATTTCAGAGGTAAGTTTCATTAAAAACATCTCAAAAGTATAAAATGACTTAAATGTACCATTTTAGGTTGTATATTGAGGAACCAAGTAGGTATTACCCAAGAGCATGACGAAACCATCATACACATGCTGTGACCTTCAATATCACAAAACCATCCTACACCAGTTGTGACCTTCAACATCACAGAACCATCCTACACCAGTTGTGACCTTCAACATCACAGAACCATCCTACACTAACTGTGACCTTCAACATCACAGAACCATCCTACACCAACTGTGACCTTCAACATCACAGAACCATCCTACACCAGTTGTGACCTTCAACATCACAGAACCATCCTACACTAACTGTGACCTTCAACATCACAGAACCATCTTACACTAACTGTGACCTTCAACATCACAGAACCATCCTACACTAACTGTGACCTTCAACATCACAGAACCATCTTACACTAACTGTGACCTTCAACATCACAGAACCATCCTACACTAACTGTAACAAAACTTGATCATTCATCATCCTACTCTAGCTGTGAAGAACATTCAACATAAGAGAACCATCTTACACTGGTCTTGATGAACCTTCCTTACAGATCCATCCTGTAATGAACAAAATGTTCAATGTTCTCTCAACAAAGCTTTTTTGACCCTTCAACATTGCTTGAACTTGTCATGGATTATAAACCCACAGAACAAGCCAGACAATACTTGATTTATCCCTGTAACACTGGTATACAGAATACCATCTCTTAACCTCATTGCATGACATTACCAGGGAATTGAACCATCGACCTTCCAATCTTCAGACAAACACTCCATCCACTCCACCACAAAGACAGTTCTGGACTTAATATGACACAGATACAAGTAGTGCCCAGTTGACTTTTAACATGGAAGTTTGAACTATCAAAGGGAAGATGTCGCCTGACCAGATGTCACATAATGTGTGTGTACAGATGGTGTGTGACCTTTGTTGATCAATATCCTACTGACACAGTGACACCAAAGTTTACTGCATTGGTTTTGTTGTATCCACATCTCAGATTCCTAAATGATTCATTACATCCCCAACAAAACCATCATTAGAGCTCTCTATCCTTTATCCTCTATAACAGCTGTTGTCTTTACCTGAATGAACATCATCTATTAGAAATTCATACTTTTATGTCAATACTATGATTTCAGTTGGGGTTAAAAGGCTTGAACTGATTCATGATTTCATTGCATCTAGAAACTGCCATGGCCCTGAAAACCCCCGTTGATAACATTCTGCAGATAAAATGTTTGCTACTATTCTACAGTCCTAGATTGTGAGTCACCGTTTGGACAGATAAGATGATAGGAAAAGATATAAAAATGTTAATTTTAGGCGAAACAGCTTGTATTTTCGTGCTTGTCAACCAGGAAGTTATGCTTGCCATGGGTGGATACAGCATGGTGTGTGTGCGCACAGTTCAGAGGGGGGGGGGGGGGCACAGTTCATTTTCACCCATCTTCACGAGAGTTTCAATGGTCACTTTAAAAACAGGACAAAAGGGTGTGTGTGCACCCCTGCAAAACCCCTTCCCCTCTTGATCTGTCTATGTTTGATGACTTGGTCGATGACTTGTAGGTCATCATAGCCTGGCTTTGCAGAATGTAGCCCACACTTGTGGTCACGTGGTCATTTGGTCCGGACTAGAATATTTACAGAACATCATGATACAGCTGAAATAAGCAGCCTTAAACAAGAAACAAACATAATTAGGAGGTAGATGTGTACACTTTCAGTGCTCCTCACATACAGGCACTTCTTAGTGTAATTTGATAGTTTTATATATACATGTGAAGATATATACAATCACATGTGATATATAATCCTGCTGGGTGGGCAAGTTAAAAAACAATCTAATTAACATATGAAGTTAAGAAGTGCTTGTATACTTTAAGGGGGTGACAACCATTATTGGCATGAATATATATGAGAGGCATGTGTACATCTACAGGTTGTTTCCTTCTTCTGTAAGGTTCACGCACGCACACACACATGCACGAATGCATGCCCGAACATATGCATGCACACACATTGCCACCACACCAGATGAACGTATGCATAAAATGTTGAATATCAACATGGATATGGATTTATTCTAATCTGACATCCAGAAGCGCTATCTGGAATCGATAAGAGATGGACTTAATGTTGACTATATTAATAATTGATACCCTAAATGAACCCTCCCTGAATTCACACAGCGCAGCAGAAGTATTTGTTACTAAGCGAACACGAGAGTCAAGAACGGATTAACTTCTTCATTGTCTTGTTTTATGAATGAAATTACGCCAAATGTTACACAACAAACAAAACACTGAAAGACTGAAAGTCCCATGATGATTCTTGGATTGTTTTTGTGACATTATTTGTTTTCTGTTTCATTATATATTACCTTTTATTATTAGACCACCTCTTACATTATAACATAGGAAAAACTGGTGAACCAAGTAAAGAACCTGTGGTAAAACAAGTAAAGAACCTGTGGTAAAACAAGTAAAGAACATGTGGTAAAACAAATAAAGAACCTGTGGTAAAACAAGTAAAGAACCTGTGGTAAAACAAAAAAAGAACCTTTGGTAAAACAAATAAAGAACCTGTGGTAAAACAAGTAGAGAACCTGTGGTAAAACAAATAAAGAACCTGCGGTAAAACAAGTAAAGCACCTGTGGCAATACATGTAAAGAACCTGTGGTAAAACAAGTAAAGCACCTGTGGCAAGACAAGTAAAGAACCTGTGGCAAGACAAGTAAAGAACCTGTGGCAAGACAAGTAAAGAACCTGCTGTAAAACAAGTAAGGAACCTATGGTCAAACAAGTAAAGGACCTGTGGAAAAACAAGTAAAGAACCTGTGGTAAAACAAGTAAAGAACCTGTGGTAAAACAAGTAAAGAACCTGCGGTAAAACAAGTAAAGAACCTGCGGTAAAACAAGTAAAGAACCTGTGGTAAAACAAGTAAAGAACCTGTGGTAAAACAAGTAAAGAACCTGTGGTAAAACAAGTAAGGAACCGTAACATATGTTATATTTGGAATTACACTTTCTCAGTAAAGTACAGATTCTAGTACTTTTTGGGGTGGGGTTGGGGGTGGGGGTGAGTGCCATTCGGGATTCGAACCCACACCCTCAGAATCAGGCACCTAATCGCCAGCACACATATGTTGCATTTCATCACTTTCTAAAATGGCATTGTGTATTTCATAGCTTTCGGCCGTGGGAGCCGTGCCAATTAACACTTATCAGAGGGGTACACAAAGTCCGCAGTTTACACAACCAGTTGTCCGACTTGCATTTTTGTGGAAGCCGCGGTGGCTGAGCGGTCTAGGCGTCTGACTTTGTGTGCTGACTCTGAGGTGTCGGTTCGAATCCCGGATGGGACTCAACCCCCCAAGAAGGTACTAGAATCTGTACTTTACTGAGAAAGTGTAATCCCAAATATAACATATGTTACATGTCACCACTTTCCAAAATGGCATTGTGTATTTCAAAGTAAAGAACATGTGGTAAAGCAAGTAAAGGACCTGTGGTAAAGCAAGTAAAGAACCTGTGGTAAAGCAAGTAAAGAACCTGTGGTAAAACATGTAAAGAACTTCCTTCTGATACCTGTGACATGAGGAGGAACAGGCTGGTGTCTATTACAGCATGGAAGTATGGAGATGCTTAAAGTAGTTATCATGAAAATTAGAGTTATGATCAATTTGGTATATGATGTTAAATAATGCTATAGCTTCTGTTCCACCATAAATATATTCAGACCTTTGAAGGTATTTTAATCATTCCTTTGGTAAACACCATGACTGGGTAAAGCACGTAGGATGTGAATCGAACCCAGGTCAAGGGTAGGACAAGCAACAGTCCCAACTAAAAGTCCCGACTTAAGGCTTATTAAACACTGTACATAGACACCTGACTGTATTACACTGGACATAGACACCTGGCTGTATTTCACTGGACATAGACACCTGCCTGTATTACACTGGACATAGACACCTGACTGTATTACACTGGACATACACACCTGGCTGTATTTCACTGGACATATACACCTGCCTGTATTACACTGGACATAGACACCTGACTGTATGACACTGGACATATATACCTGCCTGTGTTACACTGGACATAGACACCTGCCTGTATTACACTGGACATAGACACCTGACTGTATGACACTGGACATACACACCTGGCTGTATTACACTGGACATAGACACCTGACTGTATTACACTGGACATACACACCTGGCTGTATTTCACTGGACATACACACCTGGCTGTATTACACTGGACATAGACACCTGGCTGTATTTCACTGGACATAGACACCTGCCTGTATTAAACTGGACATAGACACCTGACTGTATTACACTGGACATACACACCTGGCTGTATTTCACTGGACATATACACCTGCCTGTATTACACTGGACATAGACACCTGACTGTATGACACTGGACATAGACACCTGCCTGTGTTACCCTGGACATAGACACCTGGCTGTATTACACTGGACATAGACACCTGCCTGTATGACACTGGACATAGACACCTTGCTGTATTACACTGGACATAGACACCTGCCTGCATGACACTGGACATAGACACCTTGCTGTATTACACTGGACATAGACACCTGCCTGTATGACACTGGACATAGACCCCTGCCTGTATTACACTGGACATAGACCCCTGCCTGTATTACACTGGACATAGACACCTGCCTGTATTACACTGGACATACACACCTGGCTGTATTACACTGGACATAGACACCTGCCTGTATGACACTGGACATAGACACCTTGCTGTATTACACTGGACATAGACACCTGCCTGTATGACACTGAACATAGACGCTTCGCCGTATGACATTTGACATATTCAACTGCCAGTATTGCCCAACACATATTCACTTGCCTATATATATTGCCTCTGTCATATTCACCAACCAGTATTGCCCAAGACATATATCTATCTCCCTAAATTGCCTTTCATATATTCATCTGCCTGTTTTGATTGGATGAACTAATATTGAGTAGCATTCTGTCGTATACAAATCGTTTCAACAAGGTTCCAGACAACAGATGGTTAGGAAACTGGTTTGGGAAGCCATTTGGGCTTTGGTATGAAGTACATTATTCAATATTTGATCACATAATGCACTGACGAGGGTATTCGACATACATAATTGATCACATTTTATTACATGGGTAATAAATATTGATATATATTATGTATAACTGACATTGTGCTCGTCATGAACATTACGCTCACCTCTGATGCGAAACAGAATATGCTTACACCAAGAATCGGCATATCGCAATGCACATCGTACGTGACCTTGTGTCGTTTTGACTCTAGTCTAACTTGACAGAACCTTACAAACCAAATAGGCAGCTTTGGTAGACCAGTCCTGAGGGAGCTGACAATGCCAATTGCATGTTCACAGATCTGTCAGCTGACCATGAGTTGTATGGAATGGAGTAATTCAAATGTACAAATCATCATCATCATCATTGCACCGACAACCATCACCACCACCACCACCAACACCACCATCATCATCACCACCATCATCATCATCATCATCATCATCATCATCATCATCATCATCATCATCTAAATAACTGAATTCCAACTTACAGGGTCGTGGTTTGGATCCAAAGCATCCACCATGGTTTTGACATGCCCATCTGCAACCAACTTGCTCTGCACGTGTGACCCGTGGCACATGACCGTGAGTACACGTGCACTAAGAATCTGGAGACAGTGATGCGTACAGTGACGCCAGCGAACACTCGGCGTACACTTTTGCCGGTTACCTATGATCACCTTGTGCATGGATATACTATTCTGAAGCACAGTGAGCACCAGGCTGGGATCCAGACACATGAGTATTTCCAGAGGAGTTCGGTTTATGAAGACGGCAGTGGTTTTACTGTCCTCCTCGTCCGTATGTTTGTCAGCATGAGCTTCGTGGGGGACGCTGGCACGTCGTTTGTGTAGAGAGGAAATGCGGTGTAAGGCAGACTGCGTCGTCGTCGTAGTAGTTGTTGTAGTCTCCTCAGTGGGAGGGGATGTAGAAGCACCATGGTCTTTGCGTTTGGGTGTCCCCTTTTGAAGAACCTCCAGAGGCGCTGCCACACACTCTATGCTCCTGCTCATAGAACCATACTCATAGTTTTTATGCACAATACACATGTCGATTATTCCATTGATGGTACTGAGGGAAGTGAAATGTAATGACTGGCGACCTTTCAGGAGTTCTAGTGATGTGTTAAGGAGCTTGGAAAGTTCCAGGAAGATGGAATGTTTGTCTTCTGGGGTGTTGGCATGTTGGAGCTGCTCGTAGCAAGACTGAAACCACAAAAAAAGATGTCAAAGCATGATTTGCTAACCCGTCAGGCTGACAAGTGTTTTGCTAAAGCCATTTTCACTTGTACCAGGAATTTATGTTCCGTAACTATGGGGGCATGTGTTTTAGTAATCTCCCTCCCCTTGGCACGTGAATAAGTAACCCTTCCCGTGCCAATTTTGCCACCGAATCCCTTTAATTAGGTTAATTCCTCTGTCCCTCGTCACGTGTCCAGTAACCCTTCCCTTCCCTCGTCACGTGTTCGGTAACCCTTCCCTCGTCACGTGTTTGGTAAACCTTCCCTTCCCTCGTCACGAGTTTGGTAAACTTTCCCTTTCGTCGTTACATGTCTAGTAACCCTTCCCTTCCCTCGTCACGAGTTTGGTAAACCTTCCCTTCTCTCGTCACGAGTTTGGTAAACCTTCCCTTTCGTCGTTACCTGCCTAGTAACCCTTCCCTTTCGTCGTTACATGTCTAATAACCCTTCCCTTCCCTCGTCACGTGTTTGGTAAACCTTCCCTTTCCTCGACACGAGTCCAGTTGTTCTAACCCTAACCTTGTTGGTGGCGTCGTAACCGCCACATATGTCACTAATGGATGCCCCTCCTTTCCCCTGTCAATGGACCCCCTAACCCAACACGCACGCATGCACGCAAACACACACACACACACACACGCACACACACGCACGCACGCACGCACGCACACACGTACACACGCGCACACACACACACATCTGTCTCAGGTGAAATAATGAAAACGATTCAATTATATACAATTATCCATTTTAGCTGAAGCATATTTGAAGTCTAAAAGGAACAATCAGAAAGCTCACATTTTGAGATTTCGTCTCAAATAATTTCATTTCAAGTTCGCTGTGAGCAGTACCCAAAGGGTCACTGTAATGAGTCTCTAATCTCGGGACTACCGACCTTCTACCTGCATTAGGTGGCCGCTGACCATCAATCTCCCTACATCCCTGTGCTAGCACCATAGTCTGGGTCATACATTACTGGATGACATAAGTCATATATCAGTCAAGAAACGAACACCAGAACACACCACTACCTACAAGAACATACCAGAACAGTGGCTCTGGTAGGCTTACGTGGATGCCAGTAGTCTATTGGCTTCATAATATGAGGATAGATATCACTAGAATCTTACAGTATAAAACGCCAACCTAACGCGGATCTGCCAAGGTGAAGACCTGTGGATTAATGTTTTCGCGCCTACATATCATGTTATGTCGAACCTTTTATCACACAAATACCCCATAGAATCCAGGCGGACACAGAATTGATCCGAGAAGTCTTACCTCTTGTGTTAGACGGGAGTTTTTTTAAATAATCGATGACGAATTTGTCATGGGATTTAAGCTCACTGTAGACGTTGAATCTGATAGATGTATTTTTCCCTTTATATACACTAATGAATTTTGGAACAAATACATCACTGGCCATGTCAGAAATTGCTTTTGCTAACTAACAAAGCCTTCATACGATGTAAACGATCGAAGGATCTGGAGAACCAGAAATGTGCCATAGGGGGGAGGGAGTGGAGGGGTTGGGGTGGAGGAGGAGGGTGGGGAATGGGGACAGAATTTTGTAAAGAGACTGGATATTTTTCCAAGCAACAGCTAATTAAACTTATGCACATAATGCATATTTTTTAATTCCTCATGCAACAACGTACTTGTCTACAGAAACTTTTTACAACAGCCTGAGCCAAAGTTACTTTTGTTATGCGTCATCATAATGCATTACATGGTCCCTAACATACAGGGTGACATGGTCCCTAACATACAGGGAGACATGGTCCCTAACATACAGGGAGACATGGTCCCTAACATACAGGGTGACATGGTCCCTAACATACAGAGAGACATGGTCCCTAACATACAGGGAGACATGTTCCCTAACATACAGGGAGACATGGTCCCTAACATACAGGGTGACATGGTCCCTAACAAACAGTCCCTAACATACAGGAGACATGGTCCCTAACATACAGGGAGACATGTTCCCTAAAAACAGGGAGACATGGTCCCTAACATAGAGGGAAACATGGTCCTTAACATACAGGGAAACATGGTCCCTAACATACAGGGAGACATGGTCCCTAACGTACAGGGTGACATGTTCCCTAAAATACAGGGAGACATGGTCCCTAACATAGAGGGAAACATGGTCCCTAACATACAGGGAGACATGGTCCCTAACATACAGGGAGACATGGTCCCTAACATACAGGGAGACATGGTCCCTAACATACAGGGAGACATGGTCCCTAACATACAGGGTGACATGGTCCCTAACATACAGGGAGACATGGTCCCTAACATACAGGGAGACATGTTCCCTAAAATACAGGGAGACATGGTCCCTAACATAGAGGGAAACATGGTCCTTAACATACAGGGAAACATGGTCCCTAACATACAGGGAGACATGGTCCCTAACGTACAGGGTGACATGTTCCCTAAAATACAGGGAGACATGGTCCCTAACATACAGGGAAACATGGTCCTTAACATACAGGGAGACATGGTCCCTAACATACAGGGAGACATGGTCCCTAACATACATACAGGAGACATGGTCCCTAACATACAGGAGACATGTCCCTAACATACAGAGAGACATGGTCCCTAACATAACATACAGGAGACATGTTCCCTAACATACAGGGAGACATGTTCCCTAACATACAGGGTGACATGTTCCCTAACATACAGGGAGACATGGTCCCTAACATACAGGGAAACATGGTCCCTAACATACAGGGAAACATGGTCCCTAACATACAGGGAGACATGGTCCCTAACATACAGAGAGACATGGTCCCTAACATGCAGGGAGACATGGTCCCTAACATACAGGGTGACATGTTCCCTAACATACAGGGTGACATGGTCCCTAACATACAGGGAGACATGGTCCCTAACATACAGGTAGGAGACATGGTCCCTAACATACAGGAAGACATGGTCCCCCTAACGGAGACATGGTCCCTACAGGGAGACATGGTCCTTAACATACAGGGAGACATGGTCCCTAACATACAGGGAGACATGGTCCCTAACATACAGGGAGACATGGTCCCTAACATACAGGGAGACATGGTCCCTAACATACAGGGTGACATGGTCCCTAACATACAGGGAGACATGGTCCCTAACATACAGGGAGACATGGTCCCTAACATACAGAGAGTTCCCTAACATGGACATGGTCCCTAACATACAGAGGAGACATGGTCCCTAACATACAGGGAGACATGGTCCCTAACATACAGGGAGACATGGTCCCTAACATACAGGGAGACATGGTCCCTAACATACAGGGAGACATGGTCCCTAACATACAGGGTGACATGTTCCCTAACATACAGGGTGACATGGTCCCTAACATACAGGGAGACATGGTCCCTAACATACAGAGAGACATGGTCCCTAACATACAGAGAGACATGGTCCCTAACATACAGGGAGACATGGTCCCTAACATACAGGGAGACATGGTCCCTAACATACAGGGTGACATGGTCCCTAACATACAGGGAGACATGGTCCCTAACATACAGGGAGACATGGTACAGAGACATGGTCCCTAACATACAGGGAGACATGGTCCCTAACATACAGGGTGACTTGGTCCCTAACATAGAGGGAGACATGGTCCCTAACATACAGGGAGACATGGTCCCTAACATACAGAGACATGGTCCCTAACATACAGGGAGACATGTTCTAGCTGTGGCAAAAAGGTCGGAAACGAGCTGGGCTAGGGTGTAAGTTGGATGTCATGTAAATTACAATTGTTTTCAAATGCGCTCACTTTCAAGAAAGCGAACTAGAAGCTTCGTCCTACATGAAGTGCAGAAAACGAAGAGAAAACCTTTAGTTAACTGTTTACTGAGCAGGGTACAGTAAGGGTTTCTTCTGCGAAGGCTTCCCCACAATGACACTGTCATTGGGTACTGAAGGTCTCGTCCTTAGCCTCATGGTAATTTACAAATGGATCGGATAAGTGTTTATAAGTAATTTGTACTGACCTTGAATTTTAGTAAGAGTTAAGATTTTAAGTCACATCGGCAATATTTCAGCCATTTGAACTTTCTTAAATGAGAAAGCAAACTGCAGAATTTTAGTAAAAAAGCTATGTTTGCCTGGCGTTTTCCTCGACTAGAGATTCTAGTTTGATATTCCAAAATATATTTTTGACATTTTGGGCATCTCGTAAAATACATTCGGTAGGGGATATGAAAAAATAAATAGAAAGTATAGACTGTAACAAATGAACAATCAATAAATCAAATAAATGACAGGGATGAAGCAAATGTCCAAAGATCTAGCTAGAAATGTCCATAATATTCGCTAGAAATGTCCATAACATTTGCTATGGGGTCGTTAAAGGCAACGGAGTGACTGAACACTGGTCCCGTAACAACTATTCCTGACCTGTACGATCTGATTGAAGAGTTCATTGATGACCTTCTCCACACCGGGACATTCTGCCTGATCAATGATGACGAGGATGTTGCGCATGTAGACTGCGAGGCCGTCCAACATCGCCGGTACACACTCCCAGTTGCTGGCAAGCTTCACCAACGTGGTCAACGACCTCTCCGCATCCTCAACGCTTGTCTTTTCTGAAAGAAAACCACCCATTTAGTCTAACAATTTCGCGCAGCAGCTGAGAAAAGGTAGTTTTGCCCTCTGAAGTCACATATCGATTCCGGGACAGTCGTACGTTCATCTAACACCTGCTGTGACAGCCGTACTGTGACAATGGCGACAGGTTTCCATCTATACTTATATATACTTCCCATCAAAAGTTTTGACTCACTAGTGTCAATATAGCCACTTACTTCAGGCAACTGTTCTACACTAAATTTTGCAAAATATTCCATACTGTTTAAAGGTACTATTTACACATGAACTAATGTATTGTAAAACAAATTCGTAACGTTGAAAAGATTATTGTCCTGAGTTTAATAAATGATAAAAATCAGTGAAAATTGGCGAATTCTTAAGAAAACTTTGCAGCAAAACGCAGCTGTTCACATATTCGATATTTGCACATGCTTTTCAGCAATGTGATGCATGATCCTCGTGCAATTCATCTGCATAAGGTTTGCAGTTGCTTCCCCCCAAATTAGTGGAGAAATCAATATTCGATGTAACCATATATATATACATAACATATAGTGAGTGTTTTAAGTGAGTCTGAACTTTGATGGGGAGTATACATTGTGCAGGCCATTCATATTATTTGTTCGTTGGGATCACCGCTATTGTGTTTTGGTTTATGGTATATTCGCAACTTTCAACTGATCCAGAGTTACTCCATCTCCAATTCCTTAAAAGCGTTCTTTCTTTGAAGTGGACCAATCACATACCTGGATGTAGTACAGTATACCTTGGTTATACTGCCACCGTTTGTCCAGGAGAAAAAATCGCAATATATCCAGGGGTAAATTACTTTAGTTCCCCAAACCATTGGCAAATGGCATTATATCCAGTTTGGCATTATAACCAGGGTTTTATATAGGCAGGAAATCCGCCCTGGCAAAAACATGGCATTATATCCAGGGTGGCATTATAACCAGGGTGCACTGTATATACATGGTGTAGGTTTGACGTTTGTTCTATTATTCTATAATCGTGAACTTGTCGCTTAATTATGTTCATTGCATGCATTCATTACCGAAAGATAAAATAATTTTTAAAATCCCAAACAACCCCAAATGAAAACACGCTAAAATCAAATGATGTTATACGCAGCAGTCAGCATGTATCAGGCCTGCTGTATTTATAAGAGCCAGTGTTAAGAAAACAATCAGCAGGGATACACACGTTGGCCTGGACATGTGTTGTCGCTCGGTTGCTGATGTGAAGAGATATATCGGTCTAGCATCAGATACTGAACATGACAAGTGTAAAGAGTATGTGCAGCTGCTTGACCTGATGCGTTCTACAGGACTAAAGGGTACAAGCCCCGAAGCCCATTTTTAGGTCAGGTCAGGTCAGGTCATGTCAGGTCAGGTCATGGCGGGGCGGGGCGGGGCAGGGCAGGGCAGGGCAGGGCAGGGCAGGGCAGGGCAGGGCAGTGCAGGGCAGGGCAGGGCAGGGCAGGGCAGGGCAGGGCAGGGCAGGGCAGGGCAGGGCAGGGCAGGGCAGGGCAGGGCTCATATATAGCAACATACCGTGCCGCAGTCAACATGGATAACATGGACCAAGTATACTGACAAGAATTCCAGGAAGGACTCTACCCATGTTAAACCAAATAACAAAACCCCAACAAAACAAAATGCTGGATGACACAGACCATGAAAACGTGGGGAATCGAACCAGCTCGACAAGCTAACACACTAACAACTGGCTATCACACCCATATCAATGACGCATGAACAGAAGACATGGTGGATACTATTGCTTTAGAAACTGAAACGTGATATATTTACCGCTTGGTAGGTTTCAACAAGTAGCAGACCAATTGCTGTAAATGGCCTCTACAATTGTAGTCTGGATTGTATACTCGTGCTCATTACACAGACACCTCAGTTACGAGGGTATACCACATTTGCCGCGTCGTCGCCGCTATAACATTGCAGTGTCTACTTTGATGAGAAAGAACATTCCTCTGGTTGCTGTAGTCTGTATCATCGAGACACATTACAAGCTCTGTGGAAATGTCACTCTGATTAGGCGGGATCGTGTGTATGTAGACTACCACGGGCGTTCTGCGTAATTCCAGAGAGACCTTCGCCAGAGATAACGCTACTCGTTTGGACTTCAGTATCAACTTGTGCATCATTAATGGTGGAAGTCCACCCGCTTTTAACCCGTGTAAACGTCCACACTCCCTGTTTAACTCTTTGTTTTGACGTGTCCGAACTTCAGACTAGGAAGGGATCGGTGGAAAGGAAGTGACATAACACTCCGTTTCACATACTGGTGTACATGTATTCTCACGCCTAAACATTAGCTATCTGAAAACATTACTCGCATCGGGGTACAATGTATCCGATCATGCCGTTAGATCCAGACACATTCGCACATACAGCCACACAATTACATTTCCGCTCAAAAGATATACTTCTCAAAAGAATCCAAGGAATGCCTAGGTTTTGTATTATAAAGAAAACACACATGATACGATGAAAACAAATTTTATTGGTGGCTAAGGTCAACTCATTGCAGAAACAAAGTCTTCTTGCTGCCTCATGTATGGCAATACCCTCCTGGATCCACCCAATAGCTCCCCGCATGTCAGCAATGCTTAGACGGCGACTTTGAGGCATGGTTTTCAACATGTGACTGATCTGTGTTCCAAACGTTGCTTATAAGGGAAATTTGTGCATGATGTTTTTGAAGATTTGCACTAACACGTGCACTGGCAGGTTTGGTGTATTCGGGAGAATAAGACCTACGAAAGCCTCAACTTGCAACTCAAAAATGCGGGAAAATGTCTATTTTCCAACTTCAAACCCTTCAAATTCTATTGGTTTATCGTCCAAACATAGCGTGACCTTTAAACCATTACCAGTTGTCGATCGAATGACATCATTATTTTGCACCCAATCTCTGTAAAATTTCCAGCATATTAACTGAAAGCTTCTGACCCCAAAATACCACTGTTCTTTGGATTCTTTTGAGAAGGATATATTTCGACACATCCGCACATAAATCCTTTTTCTTAAAATGTCCCCTTGTCCAGGGGTGGAAATAACCCATTGCTCGACGTCCGAGTCCAGTGTTTTTTCAAGTCGGGCAAGCAAATTTGTATATCACACTGTACCAATGTCCAGTTGACTTTCCTATGTTAATTATGTTGTTTATTTAAAAAATCAACAAGAAAATCGGCCGGTATAGAGGAAAAATTATCAGGGCAAGTGATTTTACATGTGCCACTGCATCGATGTACACTAGCAATTTTAAAGTTATTTCCACCCCTGATTGTATTAGAAAAGGTTACCAAAACCAAACCGACGACAACCCCTCAAAAGACGTAAGTCAGTGTGTGAGTGAGGTTAGTTTTACGCTGCTTTTAGCAATATTGAAGTAATATCACGGCGGGGGACACCAGAAAGGGGTTTCACACATTGTATCCATGTGGGGAATCGAACCTGAGTCTTCGGCGTGACGAGCGAACGCACGCTTTAACCACTAGTCTACCCCAACATGGCACACTGTGTGAAGCCAATTTCTGGTGTACTTCCACCCTGATATTGCTGGAATATTGCTAAAAGCGGCGAAAATCTATACTCACTCACTCGCTCATTTATTTTGCTTGAGTACAGATGGTCTGGTTTTGAAAAACTTTTACAGCAAAACGATTAGAGTGACTATATACTGTGTCAAGCAGTACGCACAGTACACATTACTGTGATTACACACTCACGTGTCGGTCCCCATAATGCCCGCAATACCATTATTTATATTTCAATCAAATATATTTACACTGGTGGGATTGAAATACATTTTTTTCATAGCATCTTTTTACATTTATGGAATTTGGCGTCGACGGATCCATTAAAAGTACTCCGCCTTATTTCCTGAAATGTCCTGCTGAGATGTCATAAGTCAATATCACAAAAATGTCTGAGTATTTGGGTAGTTCTAGCAACATGGTAAAGTCATATACTTTAGCATTTCAGGGCGACGAATGGCCTAGTCGTGTTAGGCGCCACAATTCACTGTGCAGAGTTGCGTCCCTTGGGGATGGTAGAAACGATTGTTGGTGTGAATCACAGCTGTCCCCGATTATGGGTCTAGATCTGTCACAATGATACATGTGTTTCAACATTATCGGAGACCCGCAAATACTTCGGGTGTTCCTCCAACTATAAGCAGACACGACTTGATACAACTGGAATAAAAGCGGCGTTAAACTCATTTCACTCACTCACTATTATTAAAAACACTCATCTGTGAGATAATGACTCCAAAACAAATTGTAACCGTTCTTGATTTTTCAAGATGACACTTTCCAAACGAAGACATGGTAGTGAATGCCTGTCAGATGTGAATTCCAAAAGATATAACGCCCTGGAACAACGAGGATGAATGTTATCACATCCATGTACCTAGGCGGTTAAACTACTTATGTTGGTAGACGGTTAAACTACTCACTAATTGGTCAGATGCCTGGTCTTACATGCTAAGGCACTGGTATCCTAGCAACAAATGGGTATCCGGAAGGATGGTATATAGTGGACACATTTAGCATGCAGGGAAATGTTTCGGATGATTATTCATCGGGAAGATAGGAGTCTGTTTAAATAAACACTGATCCATTGATCGCCACATGTGACTATGTTACGTCCACGACCCTGTGATGGATTATTATTTTAAAATCAGCATCATCATTTCAACTGCGCGATACCATTGGTCGTGCAATACCACAGACTCTCCCATCACCATCATCATCATCATCATCATCATCATCATCATCATCATCATCATCATCATCTTCATCTTCATCATTTCAACTGCGCGATACCATAGATCGTGCAATACTACAGGCTCTCTTCTCCCCCTGTTATTGCCCACCTCTGTTGGGAAGGCTTACCTCCCCACTATCGTCCAAGCATCACATATATCCCCAAAGCTTACCCCCATTACGGCGAACGTGATCGCTCTTGGG